TGACCTCTGTGCAATCTGTGATGACGGTGTACAGGAGGACCTGTCTGTCTCTTGCGTTGCCTGAAAGCATGACAGCTCTGGGCGAGGGCAGAAGCCCTGTGGACCACCGTGAACACGGTGCCACTGCCAGATAATCAGACTACCCGCCTCACAGGTTTGGCAGAGCCGAGGTTCCCAGACAAGTGTCAAGTGACTCTCTTCCACAGACTGCGCTCGTTGACACGCTGGGCAATCTGGAATCGGCGTTGTAAAGAAGCAATCAACGAGCAATCCGTGTCACAGGCAAAAGCATGGGAGACCGTCGCGGTGAACCTGCAGATCGAGTATCAGTCCGACTGGAACCGGGTGCTGAAGAGTATCAAGGTGGACCCAGCAAAGAAACAAGAGATCTTCAGACAAATTCTCCGAGGATAGACTGGGCACAGGACAGACTGGGCTACATAGGAGTTAGACCAAAGCTACCTAGTATGGACACTCACGGACGGACCCATGGAAGCAGCCTTGGGGCCGACCCCCCGATACAAGAGCCTAGCATTAGCCCGAGCTCCTGCTGAGACGCATGGTAGAGAGGTAGATGTGAACTTACGGTCAGGGTTCAAGGTTATGCCACATGAGATTCGAGGCTGCAACCCCCCAAGGGCTCAGCCAACTGGACTAGTAGTGGCCTCACTGACTCTAGAGCTTCAACAACGGCCAACAGCTCGATCAGCTGAGAGGAGCAGGGGGAATGTAGGAAGAACAGGGAGAGGCAGTCTCGCCAAAAGCTCAAGGTCCTGCTGTGCGTGGTCGAGCTATAAAGTGGAACTGGCCAATGCTGCCAAGATAACTCCAGGTAGGGGGGGGGGGGGGGAAACTCCGGGTAGAATTGTGAGGTCCCCGGGCTCGATTTTCGGCTTGCTAATAAAAATGCCAGGCTTTTTGGAAAAAAAAGAAAGAAAAGAAAAAAAGAAGAAGATCACACTGGGAAAAAAGAAAACCCAAAAAACTGACTGCTTAAACCACCCGTACCCTATCCAAAAAAGATCACACTGAGCGGAAAAAAAAAAAAAAACTGAGTGCTTAAACCACCAGTACCCCACGGAGCTATTTTTTTGTCGTCTCCAGCGTGCTCGGAGGTTGCTGGGCAAGGTCGGTGCAACCCTCAGGGGTTGAGCTCGATTTTGAAACGGAGAAGGGAGCTAAAAGCCTAAAACGGTAAAACCACCTTTTTTTTTTCAGGGTTTAGGTGTGTGCTATGTTTTCTTTTTTTCTTTTTTTTTTTTTTTTTTTGAAAGGGTTTAGGTGTGGACCATGTAGTATTTTACTATTTTAGTATTGTAGTATTGTACAAAATTACTGCTACAGTTTCCAACGGTACAGTTCCTGTAACCTGTTGCTGCAGTTTTCACCACAGCTGCTGGAGTCTCCTCTGCTGCAGCTTTCACTGCAGCATTTTCCACACTTGGGATTCCCCCTATCGTAGTTTTCGCTGCTACAGCTTCTTCTGCCACCGTTCAAGTGCAAAGAACATCACAGTCTCTTTGACACTCATGCCCTTTTATTCCGAACTCTTACCTAATCAACCCCCCTCTCATCTCTTTCTGTGCTTGCCGGCCGACGGCCACGTTCATCCTCACCACCCCCCATCTCCTCCACAGTCTCGCTTGGGAATAGATTCTTCTGGTCTCATCTTTCCCACTGTTTGACCTTTGTTGCCGGAGACATGTTCTCGCCAAATGGCCTGTCGATTGCAGGCCAACATGAAGGAAGATCGGATACTACCAAAAGCCGTACAGTCAGTCTAACACCCATGGCTACACAATGGATATATACTATATAGTGTCCAGATGCGGAGGGTGCCTGCGGTCCGGAAAGGCGGGACAGGCAGTCCGCTGCGCACATGGATGCAGAAAAAAACATGTCAACACAAAAAAACATGTCATTGTAGTGATTATGACAGAGACGATGACCCCAGCAGCTGAGTGTAACAGTGTTTGTAGCTGCGCAAAGGAGAAGGTCGCAGAGTGTTGTTACGTACGCTGTCCTGCTGCAGCACAGGGGCAGAGAATTAATCTTTGGCATAAAAGAGTTTGCGCAACTTTGCGGACGGTTTGGTTTGGCAAGAAAAGAGCATCGTTTTGTAACAAATGGTTCCACTTTTAAACACCGTGTCCTGGCTGTAGTGGTTAAGATACTTGGCTGTTGAGGCCGAATTCGCCGGTTCGAATCTGTGCTTGCACGGAGGAGGGCTTAGGCCCGGAGGTACGGATCCATAACTACCATGGACCATAGTGCCCGTTGACCATAATGACCGTACATTGTATTCGGGTGAAGAAGCTAGCGACCGAGTGGCAGTAACCGAGTGGCTACTTTTAGTAATTGAAGTGTTTACTTGACAGTACCTGAGTAGAGTTACTTGACAGTAACTGAGTAGAGTTACTTGACAGTAATTGAGTAGAGTTACTTGACAGTAACTGAGTAGTTACCTGTGCTAAACTCCGGGCCGCCCGGCGGCCCAGCCTCCGCCCGGCAGGGGTCCCGGGCGGCCCGGCCGGTTGGGTCCCCCGGTTGGAAGCCGGGCGGGCCCAGCGCATTTTTGTGCAGGGGGGGGGTGTGGCCTGTTACGATTTGTTGGCGGTCTCGAGAGCCTTCCAGCATCCCCGCGCGAAAGATTTCGTCGTCGCATGGCCGCATGCGCGGCCTTCGAATTCGAACACCGAGTTTGTCGAAGGTCCGCCAGTGTCCGCCGTCGCTGCCCGCCATGGAGGTTCCCGTCGCTTCCCTTCGTCACTTCCCGCCGCCCGTAGCCGTTGTCGAGAGCTGCCCGTCGTGGAGGTCGACGAGAGCTGCCGGTCGTGAGTTCCCGCCGCCGCTAGCCGTCGTCGCCGAGGTGCCTGTCGTCAGTTCCCGCCGCCGCTGGCCGTCGTTGCCGAGGTGCCCGCCGTCGTGGCCAGCCTTCGCCGAGGTGCCAGTCTCTCTCTCTCTCTCTCCCTCTCTCTCTCTCTCTCTCTCTCTCTCTCTCTCTCTCTCTCTCTCTCTCTCTCTCCTCCTTC